GTCCCTTAGATGTTTGCTCTAGAACAGCAGTTCTCAACCTGTGGGCCGCGACCTCTTTGGGGGTCGAACGACCCTTTCACAGCAGTCGCCTAAGACCATCAGAAAACACATATATAATTACATATTGTTTTTGTGATTAATCACTATGCTTTAATTGTGTTCAATTTGTAACAATGAAAATACATCCTGCATATCAGATATTTACATTATGATTCATAACAGTAGCAAAATTACAGTTATGAAGTAGCAACGAAAATAATTTTATGGTTGGGGGTCACCACACTTGAGTAACTGTATTAAAGGGTCCCGGCATTAGGAAGGATGAGAACCACTGCTCTAGAAGGACAAAGGATGCATCAATACCCAGGAGGAAATATCATAGGTGGATTTCCATCACAAAATGCAAGGAACTCTAAGCCTATGGCCAAAACTATTCTTACCACTGTGAGGGGTGCCAAGCTCCCTCCACCTTCCTGGCTCCCTTGTGTTTTTTCCAGCCCTGCACACCATCAACACCATCAGGCAGGGCTCCCAACATGGAGCACTCTTGGAAGACACACAGCCCCTGGGCCCCCAGATGCTTCCATTTCCCCGTCATGGGCATTTCAACATCTTCAGTGAGGAAAGAGCCAGAAAGCAAGTGAGAGCTAAACACAAATGAGAGCATTCAAAGGCCTGGTTGCCTGCCTGTTCCTTGGGCAATAAAGCTGCTCTAGAAAGCCTTTCTGGCCTATTTCAGTGGAAATTAAAACGAAAATAAATCACAGGCAGCCTTAAAAGAAAAGGGATAAACTTATGCCTTTACATGCAAGGATATCAATACAGATATAGATTTAAATACATGTGTTATACATTTTATGCATCCATAGTGAGCACACATAGAATGACCTCACTACAGATGGCCAAGCACTAACAGAAGGGCTGTATATGGGGCTTCTGCAATTATGATAACTAGATAGTTGACCAAAAAGCAATAAGGTGGTAAAGGCACAGAAGTGAGCATGGTAAAATGCACTGGGGTAAATTCTGCCTCTCGACATCATTATTGAAACAGGCCGGTAGTCCCTTGGTCACTAGCAACAAGTAGTTTAAAATACATCAAGTGATAATGAAAGATAAGTTCTAGGTTAACGTGCAGATAGGAGCCACCACCTATCACTTCAGCTGAATTCAGAGATGGACAAAGACACATATTCTGAGGCTGTGCATTCACAAAGGCAGAAATTGAAGATGTTCATGGAAAAATGGAGAACCCTCCAACTTAAACAGCAGTAATTGTTTAAAATAGTCTGAGAAAACGTGAGACAAAATGACCTCCTTGGATGGCCACTACTTATCTGGAATAAGTGAAAACAAAAAGTGAGTAGGGCTTTCACCCCTTCAGAAACTTAGCAAAGATCCAAGATCTCTCTTTACCCATTCACAGATGAGCTACACTCCAAATATTAACTCTTTCCCAAATACCAAACTGAAATGGATGAAGCTAAAAATTCTCTGTGATCATTCATTCAGTCAATATTTACTAGGTGCCAACTTTGGGCCTGGCACCGGATAAGGAATGATGAACAAGACCAGTAGGAATGTTGTCACCACAGAGCTCAGTCTGCCCTCCTGCTCTAGATGGCACCATCAGCATCTGGTCATGGTAAATCGACAGAACAGAGAGAAAACCTATGAAGTTTACAGATCACCCTCCCATGGAAGGAAGGCCATCAATAATGTTTGGGTTCTCAGGTCAATCCATAAAGCTAGAGTGGCCCTGTATTCAGCCACAGTGTGGTTTTTAAGAGGTTTCCGGTTGTATTACCCTAGGCCCGTGGTCGGCAAACCGCAGCTCGCGAGCCACATGCGGCTCTTTGGCCCCTTGAGTGTTGGTCTTCCACAAAATACCAAATGCGGACGCGCACGTACAGTGCGATTGAAACTTTGTGGCCCATGCACAGAAGTCGGTATTTTGTGGAAGAGCCGGTATTTTGTGGAAGAGCCACACTCAAGGGGCCAAAGAGCCGCATGTGGCTCGTGAGCCGCGGTTTGCCGAGCCGCAGTTTGCCAACCCAACCACTGCCCTAGGCCTTTAACAGTATTAAATTGTAGTTTATAATCACAGAAACAGTCAATGCTTGCCTGGCAGGTGTGGCTCAGGGGTTGAACATCGATCTATGAACCAGGAGGTTAAAGGATATTCCAGGGTTGTGAGCTTGATCCCCAGTAGGGAGCATGTAGGAGGCAGCCAATCAATGCTTCTCTCTCATCATTGATGTTTCTCTCTCTCTCTCCCTCTCCCAAATAAGTAAAAATACATATTTAAAAAAAGAAACAGTCAATACTTAAGACTGAAGTGTGCAATGCTGGGGATGGGTAAAAAGCTGTAAATGCCTATGGGTGGGCTGGCCGCCCTTTTCAGTCTCACTCTGCCTCCAGGACAGGGAATATGAATGGGGGGCAGAATCTCCCCAGAGAGCTTATGAGGGTGAGAATTACATTTGGAATAGCTCACCTGCATGTGAGCCAGTGGCCTCTCACATGGAAACAAGACATTGGTTCTGGCCAAGGCTACACACATTTCTTACCTTGAAACTCAGAAATCACAACTGACATATTTCCTAGCTTTTTCAGGAAGTATGATAGTGTTTTTACATATTCTGCCCTTTTTCAGACATATGTTTTTTCAGCAGTAATCGCAGCCCTAATAGCATTTAAAGTACATTAGCTTACATGAATTTTTAAACACCACTTTTTATGCAATTTCATTTGCCCTCATTGCATGAGCCTCATCTACTAGATTCCCCCAAAATTATCAACTCAGCATCTGACTAATAAAACCGTAACCTCAATGCAGGTCTGTTTTGTTCAAACCATGGCACGGATAGACATGTAGCTAAAAATAGAAAAAGTAGTTATTCTAAACAAGAATGTGAGTCTCCAAGACAATTTTTTAAAGTATTTAATTTATGTTTAGAAATAAGAGAGTTAAGCATACTGCCTGAAGGAAGTCGTTTAGTGGCTCTCTGACAAGGTTGAGCAAAATTTTTCTTGCAATTCATTAAGAATACCCTTAGGTTACATGTGGAAAATGTAGGTGCCTTAGCAGTAATCGCCCCAAATTACCCAAATAAAATACTGTTTCCGTCTTAGTGCCAGAGTCTCTGTATGAACTCAGTCTTCTCTGAACCAAACTCTCCTCCATCTGAGCTACAGAGAATATGCTAACTTTCACAGATCATTCAATCGGTAGTTTTCCTAACACAAAGTCGGGGTAGGGAGGAGTTTTCAAAGCCTTTGCTGAGCTCCCAGAAAGGCCTAGACAGATCCTCTCCCTGAAGACCCATGAGCTGGAAAGATCTCAAACTACACTCTTAAGGTGGGAAAGGGATAGAGCCAGAGTCTGCCTCTCTAGGTAAAAAATGGATGCTTGGGGACATCCATTCCAAGTGCCTCTAAGGAGAGGAAGCTCCTGATCAGAATGAGGAAAGCAAAATGCTATGGGAGGTGGCCGACATGCAGAGAGCAGAAGCCTGGCCTGGGCCCAGGCACATGGGGACCCAGGAAGGTCTGCAAAGCAGTGGGGTAGTTTGGTTTGCAGTACCTCTCCTGCTTCCTGTCACACTCACAACGAGACCTGGTAGCCCACGTGTATCCCAGGGAACAGTGATTCTTCCTAGATGCTCAGGCAACGGCAGCATCGGCGTCCCTTGCGAAGTGCTAGAAATGCCCATTCTGGGCCCACTGCAGACCTGTTAAATCAGAAACTCTCGGGGTGGCCCAGAAACCTGTTTCACAAGCCCTGCAGGAGTTTCTGATGCAAAGTCCAGTTTGTGAGCTACCACCATAGGATTAATTAAAATCACTGTAGTGTAGTTCCTCTCCCAAGACTTAGTTATAATTAGAGAATGGCAGATCTTTCTTCCTCCAAAGGAAATGTCAAGGGTCAGCAGGCCAAAGGGTGTCAGGAGGAGGTTTGAGGGGTTTAAGTCCCAGGTTACCACTACTCCTCCCCTTCACTTTGGGTTTAGGAATCTTGGTGATGGGCACCAGCAGAGGGAGAGGAGAAAACTTCAGAAACAGATCTGATCCACGTCAGAGGCCAGGGGACGCTAGGCAACTTCCTGCTACTTAATCATTCCCTTCCAAGTAAACAAGCAACATCAATGGTAGTTGTAATAAGCCATACAGATCAAGAAAACCCACCAGACCTTCTCTCCAAAGCAACTAAGACACCACTAAACCGTCTTCACAGCTTTCCCAAGCTCGTGGCGATTTATGAGACCACACAAAACTCAACAATAATATATTAGTCAATATACTAGTGTAAGTTTAAACTTCAAAGCAAATGCTCTTAAACCACTAACACTCTTGCCTACCACAGGAACATTTAAACAAGTTTTCCCCCTAAAATTAATTTTCAGCCTGCTAAATGAGACCAGTGATCTATTCTTGGGCAACATAGACTCTAATTTTTAATCGCGCACTCTGAATTTTTCCACTTCAAAAAAGAAGTCACTCATTCACAAAGCAATGATGTACTACTAAATGGCTGTTACTTTGCTTCCCAATGCTGTTCAACTTCCAAAAGATGAGATTCTGAAAAAGCAGTCACAGCACCACGGAAGATCTGGAAGTCAAAATGACCAGGAGAACCTTTCTGCACACAATACACATGACCATAATTAGCCTACTTACACCAAGCCTTGCCTTCCTTTCTGATGCAAAAGGGAAACTTGGGCACTATTTGCCTATATCATTATTAGTCACTTGATACTCAAGAAACCAGTCTTATGTCTTCTGGGACAACTGTCCTCATTGGAAAGTAGGTAGTGCTGAGTAATCAACATTATTTTGCGCTGTCTTGGTTTGTAGAATCATATCCTTGTTGCTATTTTTTCAGCCTTAAAAACTAGTGATCGTAAATCTAGCTGCTTCCTTCTTTAGTGGTAATTAGCATTAGTCATAAGCCAAAAATGATTCCACATAAGAAGTAAAATAAACACAACCCTTCTTACCTTTCATGCCAAACTTGGAGTGTCTTGCCAACTTTAGCAGAAACAGCATTACCAGCAGACAAAATCCCACTACAGATGCAATTACCACCACAGCATAAACCTAGAGACAGGAAGGGAGGACAGTTATGGCCTTGCTAATTAGTTTCCAATATCCAGATGATGATGATGATGACAATTAATATTCATACAATGCTTACTACTTGCTCTTCTAAGAACTGTATGTATATCAATTCACTTAATTCTCAACAACCCTACGATGATGTATGTATTATTATTTCTATTTTTAAATGAGAAAACAGAAGTTAAAAGTTATAAAATGCATATATAATTGAAATTATGTAGAGATATAGATATACAACAGATATATGCACACATATATATAATATATCTATATTGAAATATAATATTAGATATATCTCTATCTCTTCCCATCTACCTACCTATCTACCAACCTGGAGAATAGAAGAATGAAACATGAATAAAAAAAATACTGATAATATTTGAAGTTGGTGAAAGATATAATGAGATTCATTTTACTGTTCTTTCAACTGTTATGCCTATTTGAAAATGTTTATAATAAAAATATGTTTTAAGTTGGCTATTGTTGCTCTTAGAAGTCAGGGTCCTCTGGAGCACTGAGTGGGCCTGGAAAAGAGCAATATGGCACTTGTGGGTGAGTCAACTTGTGAAAGCTCATTAGGTTGTAGACTTATGATGTGTACACTTCTCTATATGTATGATAGAGATCAATTCAAAGGTGTTTTTTAATTTAAAAATGTAATTGCAAGATGTGGATTCTATAAGTTGAGAGAGTAAATGCAGAGAGTAAATTCTATGTGAATCCTGTCTCACCCCTAAGCTGGAGATCACAGAGGCACAAGTGCATGATGCTAACAAAATGCACAGTAACATTTTAGAAACAAAGATGGATGCAGGGCTGTGTATCTCCTTCCATTCCTACTGCTCACCCCAAGGCCCTGCTGCCAAGAAAAGTTTGATTCTCTAAACCAGGATTGGCAAATATTTGTTGTCAAGGCAACTGATTTCATTGCTGCTGCAAGATCTTAGGCTAAGGCAGTGGTTCTCAAACAGGGAGAATGTTGCACCCATGGGACATTTGGAAAATTGGGGTTGTTACAACTATGGGAAAGCATCTAGTGAGCTGAGGCCAGGGATGCTGCAAAAACATCCTAAGTACGTAGAACATCATCTCACCACCACAACAATGATTTAGTCATCGACAATAACAATGTCAATAGTGCCAATGTTGAGAAACTCTGCTCTACTGCTCTCTTCACCTCTGCCATAGTAAATGCTAACTTCCCAAAAGGTGGCTGCTTGTCAGACTAGTCTTGCAATCAGGATGAGGCTGCAAGAACTTCCTGCCAATACATGTACTGAAACAAGAATTAAACCTTTGTTGCTTCAAGCCACTAAGATTTGGGAATTCTTGTTACTGCAGCATAGCTTATCCTAACTGATACATCCTCACAGTGAGAAGATTAAGAATATGGGTTCTTCCTGAGTTTAAAATTTATATTTACCATTTATTAGTTTTATGACTTCAAAATTACTTAACCTTTCAGAATCTCATGATCTTGATGTGTAAAGAGGGAATATAATAATTCCACTTTGCAAGCTGTAAATCCTCAGTGAGTTAATGCAGATAATGGGCTTGGAACAATATCTTTTACAATAGATACTAAATGAATGTCAGCTATCATTTTTATTGAGTTCATTGGGTGACATTGGTTAACTAAACCATATAGATTTCAAGTGTACAACTCAACAAAACATCATCTCCACACTGCAGCATGCACCCATCATCCAAAGTAAAGTCTCTCTCCGTCCCCATTTGTCCCCCTTTGCCCGCTTTTACCTACTCCCTACCCCTTTCTTGCTAGTTATCATACATAGTTGTTGTTGTTTTTGCTTAATCCCTTCACCTTTTTTTTCACCCAGCTTCTTATGTCAGCTACCATGATGATCATAATAATGATAAAATAGATTCAGGAAAAATTTAATAAGCAGCCCAAGATCACACCTTTGAAGCTTGGGATTTGAACGAAAGTCTGCCCAAGTATAAACCCTATAATTTATCCACTATACTGCCGCTCCTAAGCATGTGGCTGGAAGTGAAGACGGGATAATAAAAACACATGGCTAATCCTCCACAGCACCTTCTCTGATGTCAGATGGGGACAGCATTCAATAAGTCACAAAGCACAGAAAAAAGCACATGCCAAGCACTTGGCAAAGGTGTGATAATTCTCTTCGCTGGTACTTGAGCTGTGAGTGGCTCTCTCACAAAAAGCTTTTGCAAATGTCTAAATATACACTAAACTCTCTCTACAATCTATATACAAACAACATGGTAATGATTCCTAAAAAGCTAGTTTGGATCAACTTGTTCTAACCAAGATCATTTCCCTCGATTTGCCTAATTAGTTTGGATGTGGTTGTTTGTTCGTTTTTAATCTTTATTTCTAACATTTTCATGGGAAAGAGATCATAGTATTTTAGCTCTAGGTTTCTCTACCCTATTACTATGTCCAGACTTCTGTGGGTAGAAGGAGAATACCTAAAGAAACAAATTCAAACTATTTTACCGATAAGGAACCTGGGATGGGGAAAGGTTGGAGGACTAGCCCTGAGTCCCAGGACCTCTCTGAAGTCCCACAGTAGTCTCTTATCACTTTGGAAAGTACTTGAATGGCATTCAGGAGATCTGAGTCCTGTTTGCAGAACACTTTGACTTTACCAGCTGTAAGAACTAGATCAGAGCCTTCACTTCCCCAAGCCTCCATTTCCTCATTTGTCCATGCAAATAGGAATACCTGCACTGCCTTCTCTGCATTATTAAAGAACACTTAATTCAACCTGCAGAGAAGGGGTTTTACACCTGAAAAGTAGTTAATGGTCTGCCAACAAATACTTAGACCTATTAAAGCAGCTTTAAATGTAAAGAATCCTTTAATAAACAAAGATTCTCTTGAAAATGAGAATCATTTCCTCAAAAAATGGTTTGATAAAAACAGACTGAAAATGTACTGTGATTGTGTTGGGGTGGGTATGGTCTTTATATGGGGACAAATAGGGGTGAGTTGGTTTGTTTGGGTGGTTGGGTTGGATGGTTGGTTGGTGTTTTGTAGTTTGGTTGGTTGGCTGGCTGGTTGGTTCATTTTTATCTGAGGATATCTCGTAGCATAAAACAAGGAGTTGCCCTCCTCCAGAAACCCAGCAAGTTTCATGGGAGCACTTGGAACAGAAAGGTGAGTGTTTGGGGCTGTCTTCCAAGTGCTCTGACAACTTTAACTTTTGCATCAGCTAGTGGCTCTGAAACTTTTCTTCTAATTGAATAATCTCCCCCTCTCCCTCTCACTCCCCCCCGCCCCCGTGATCGCCCGGGAAAAGATATCTATATATCTATATATATATATATATATATATATATAACCCGGACCCCCCCATAAATTTAAATTTTCTTTTAAATTCTGAAAATATTGTCTTATACCCCTCAGATATATTTCCAGGGGCCTCAGGTAGAGTCATAAATGTAGAGACTTAATACAGATTATTTTAACTGATCTTGCCTTCCAGTGACCCTCCTGTAGACAGTTCAAACATCACTGAGATATGCCAGTGAGGAGCTTAAATTTATCATTTGGATTCAAAAGAGAAAACTGCAGTTAACATCATTTTTAGTAACTGGAATACCTACACACCTGTGGGCTTAACACATACTCTCAAATTCCTATGGACACAAACAACTTTCTCAAATCAAAAACATTAAGTGGTTGGGAGCTAGAATAAAAACTGAAATGATTGCACAAGGCAGAAGTTGAAAGCATTCTACAGTTGACTGATCACAGCATTTGTCCTGCTGTCCTGCTGTTTCAATGTAATGCATAGAGTCATCAGTGGAAATGTGTGTGTGTGTGTGTGTGCGTGTGTGTGTGTGTGTGTCTCCATAGACTGGGTGTGCATATTTTGAGCCTCCCATTCTCTCTGCCATAGCCCTGGTTTAAATACACATCACACTATCTTTGTATTACCGTACCAGACCCCTAACTTATCACCCCACTTCCAATCTCTCTGATTGGCAACCCAGTCTATAGTATTCACATGAATCTAATCAGCCTAATTTTCATTGAGTAGCTTCTTGGTACCAGGAATTATTCTAGTGACTAGGGATACAGCTATGAAAAATACTGACCATGTTGCCTACTGAGAATCTTTTTTTTTTAAATATATTTTATTGATTTCTTACAGAGAGGAAGGGAGAGGGATAGAGAGTTAGAAACATCAATGAAAGAGAAACATTGATCAGCTGCCTCTTGCACACCCCCTACGGGGGCTGGGCCCGCAACCAAGGTACATGCCCTTGACTGGAATCGAACCCGGGACCCTTCAGTCTGCAGGCCGACGCTCTATCCACTGAGCCAAACCAGTCAGGGCTCCTACTGAGAATATTACTAAAGAATCTGGTGAAAGGGAAAAGACATAAACAAGGAAACAAATAAGCAAGCAAGGTAATTACAGACAATAATAACTACATAGGGAAATGGCTGCCTGCTGGCCACCCTAGATAAAGCCATGTGGTGACTTTCGGGAAATGCATGCTTTATAGAGGGGACAGCAAATGTTAAGGCTGTGAGACAAGAGCAAACCTGGAGCATGCAAGAGATTATTTTTAAAAGACAGGTGGTGCCCAGCTGGTGTTGCTCAGTGGTTGAGCATCCACCCATGAACCAGGAGGTCACGGTTCAATTCCTGGTCAGGGCATATGCCTGGGTTGAGGCCTAGATCCCCAGTGTGGAGTGTGCAGAAGGTAGCCGATCAATGATTCTCTCTCATCATTGATGTTTCTCTATCTCTCTCTTTCAAAAAATTTTTAAAGGCAGATGGTAAGCAGTGAGGAGATGTGGGAGATGAAGTCAGAAAGACAGAGACCAGCAAGGTATGTAGAGGCCATGTTAGCCACTGTGAGGATTTGGGCTTTTATAACATAAGTTTTTTTACAATGTATTGGGAAGACTCTGAGAATGAGTGACCTCTGTGCTTTTCAAAGGTCACTCAGGTTGCTGTGTGGAGACAGGAAGATGACAAGAGTGGGCGAGTGGGGAAGGTAGAAGGCATGGCAGTCACCTAGGAATGAGCGATGGTGGCAAAGTCTCTCTGTAAAGGGCCAAACAGTAAACATTTCCAGCTTTGCAGGCCTACAACTACACCTGGCATTCTAGCACAGCACAAAAGTGGCCACAGACAATATGCAAATGACATGACTGCTTTCTAAGCAAACTTTATTTATGAACAGATATTTGAATTTCATAAAATTTTCATGTTACAAATCATCCTTTGGATTTTTTTCAGACCACTTAAAAATATAGAAACTATTCTTAGCCTGCAGACCTCACAGAAACAGGTCCTCAGCCAGAAGCTGGCCTGCAGGCCTTAGTTTGCCACCCCTTCCCGCCCACACCCACACCCCGAGTTAGCCCGCAGCTGTGGCAGTGGACATGGGGAGATATTTGGAGTTTATAAGGATGCAGAGTTTATAAGGACGTGCAACTGGGTTCACACAACAAGTGAAGAAAAGGGGAAAATGGAGGAAATTTGCTGGGTTTTTACCTGAGCAGCTGACAGATCACCCCGGCCCAGAGCCCTGGAGCCCTGTGATCTGGGGACTCTCACAAGCCCCTTTCACTGCCTCCTCACTGTGCAATAAATCTAACCACCTGGCACTGTGTTTCAAATCCTCATCACCTGGCACAGCCAACTCTCCAACCTTGCCTCCAACTGCCACCCTTCACCTGCCTTACTTTCCAATCACCACTGTTTTCCAGTCTGCAGGCTCCTGTTCACACCCCCAAATCCCTTCCCTTCTGTTCCTCTATGTCCAAATCCCAGGCATCCTGCACCGGCCATGGAGAATGCCACCTGTCCTCAAAGACTCCTGGCTCTCCCAGCAGGAAGGGACAGAGTGCCAGCCCCTCTACCTCTATTTCTCACACCACATAGCTCCACCTCTATTTGTGTGAGGTGCTAGGATTCACATCTCAGGCCACTGCCTGAACTTTAAGCTCAAAAAAAACAAACAAACAAAAAAAAAAGAAAAAAAGAAACGGACCACATATATATCCTTACATGTGGTAGGCACTGAAACTTTTATTAAAATATTTAAGAAGATCAGTGTGGAGGTGTGGAAGGCAGAAATAATTATATATGTGCCTGTACAAGAAAGCTGCTTTCTTGCTCTTCTAATAATAACTTTTTAAAGGACAGATATTTAAAACAGGAACCACTAGCAATAAGTCGGGGGCTACCTTTATCACTTCTCTTAAACCTTTCTATTAATCCCTCCACACGTCAATGCCCTGTTTACATGTGAACAATAAAAAAGGTCTTGTTGAAAGACTTGCCTTGAAGAAACTCCAAAAGTCTTCTTTTATTTGATGTATTTCATTTTAGACAAACATTTTTAAAACATTCAAAATAAAGACAATATGCTAGCTACCTCCAACAGGAAGCATCCAAAATGCTCAGAACCAGCCTAGGAAACAACTATCGAGCCCACTCACCGAGAGATGCTCCCGCCCGGCTTTGTCAGCAACATCTGTGGAAGGAATCTCGTTACTTCTGTTCGTGGTGTCCCCGATGTCATTCGCTGCAGTCCCATAATCTTAAATTGGAGAAAAGGGAAAGAGACAGAATAGTGAAGTTGTCATTAAGCTATCAACAAACACGAAGCCACAGTATGACCCAAAACAAAACCAGACAGATCAAAAGATTCCAAACCACTGACAGCCTGGCTGGGGAGGAACAGGACCCGCCTGCTGGGTTAAATCCATTGCAGCACTGGGACTGCGCACCGCCAGCTTCATACTCAACCCAGATCTCCGCATCCTTGTTTTGGTGGTAAATTCTAAACCTCATTTAGGGTGTTTCTTTGCACATAAATTTATACTAGTGTGCCTTTTCTGATTAAGCACTTGACATAAATACGAAAAAGAATCAATCATCTATGAGTCACAGATTTGTAGACCTGGAAGAGTCTTTAAAGACCAAGTCTAACTGTCAGTTTTGCAAATGAAAAATGTTCATTGACTAGTCTAAGGTCAACTGGCAAGAAGGTGGCAGAGCCTAGACCTGAACCAGACTAGAAATCAGCAGCACTGATTCTAAGGCAGATGCATCCTATTTGGGTAAGAAGCAGCCACTAAAGATGAAATGTGAAATCAAACTGATAGGGAAGTTGGGCACACACATGAACTTTTTGGAAGAGTTATGAATCATTAATATTTCCGTTTCAGAATTAATAGACAGGGAGCTGTGCCAACACAATCTTTAGAATTGTAAGGATACATTATCACATCAACATGTCTCAAACGTGGTTGCCATCTTCTGAATCAATTTTAGAAAATTAATGACTGATTTTTTTGTGTGAGCCAAAGTTTTATTAGCAATATTGCATATAAAAGTCAGAAAATTTGGTAAACATAATGCAGACAATGTTCTGTATAAATATTTTGTATTTTTTTTCTAAGTAGATATGGTGCCTTCAATTTGCATCCTGAATAAACAACCTCATTAAGTCAGCCCCAGCTAAACTCTCTTGGTAGAATTTCTATGCAAGCCTTGGGGTAACCAATTTAAATTATATTTTTATTAGCAGTGTTCCTTTGAATTTGAATGAAAGTAACAGAAAAAGCATCTATTTTCTATCTGTGTGCTGTTTTGTTTTTGACTGCAAAACTATATCCTCACCATTTCCATTTTGAATGTATTAAAATTCAATTTCAAACACTAAGAGATATCATTTACTTGCTTATTTTTACCTCTTCATATCATACCCAGCCACTCATGGAAAAACTAAATCATTAAAGTATCTATAGTTTAATATCATGACATTTTGACCCAAAGACAAAGTGCTATCTGAGGCCAATGGAAAGATGACATTAAGTCTTGAAATTACTGGAAAGGAGTCCAAAGCATAATTTTAAAATGTTAAATCACAATGAAACCGTATTTCTCTGTGATACAATTTGAGATACTCTTCCTTTAAACCATATCAAGATAAATAAAAACAAAAATAAACAAATCACATGCACAAAATCATCCAAACCAGAGCATGAAGGAATTGTAGCTTAACATGTATAAGGCAGGTAAAGAAAATATAATCTCCTAGTTAAAATTAGCTTACAGAATCATGTCTAGAAAAAAAATGTCAGTGTGTATATAAAAATAAAAAATTAAAAAAAAAATTTTATAAAATAAATGTATAAATATAATATTTTAATCAGTCTAACTTTGACTCAATCTCAAACTTCAAGCCAAGTCTTAAAATTTATCCTGCACTTCCCCAAACAGAGGCCTCCTGGTCATGAAGGTGGTTTGAAAATCTGTGAAAGATGGATTTTCATACCTAGCAAAACTTCCTTGGCATTTGACTAAAATAGCAAAGTACAAATGAGATGTTTGGTTAAAAGTTAATATAGTGTACCTTTAGGTTTTCCCCTACAGATGAGATGTTTGGTTAAAAGTTAATATAGTGTACCTTTAGGTTTCCCCCTCCCACATTCCTAAAAGAACCCTATTTTATTTAGTCAAAGGGTAATCCATCCTGCTTATCAGTCAGGGAGGCAAAAATGGTTCATGACCCAACTGGGTCTAATCCATCCTGCTTATCAGTCAGGGAGGCAAAAATGGTTCATGACCCAACTGGGTCTTGAATCCAATACAACTCCCTTTTCTCAAATCAATGTGAACAACCATAGCCCCTTTGTTGGCCTCAGCTAATAATGCACTAGAGTGGGTGGCAGGGTGGGCGGGCATTGGTGAAGGCAGAACAATGGGCAGAGGAGGGGTAGAGATGAAAAAAACTTGGGTCCCTGATGACATGATTAAGCTGCTGGTTTAATCCACCCTAAAACATGCCCTACCTTTGAGGAGCCTGTCTATGAGCCAAACTTCCTTATTATATAAGAAATGTAATTTTGAATTGGGTTTACTGTCATAACTAGAAACCGATACACTGCCGTTTTCTTGGTAGCCATGGCTTTTAAACAGGCAATTAGTTCCCAATTATGGAAACAAATTGTTGCAGCAGAATGGATTTACTACTTCCAAGAATAGAGCATGAGAGAGAAAATGCTATTTACAGGCACTGTAAATATCAAGGGAAAATGGTCATCAATATTGAATGATTTTGCCAGGCCGGAATGGCTCATTTGGTTTAGTGTCATCCTGTGCACAAAAGGGTTGTCGGTTCGATTCCTGGTCAAGGCACATGCCTGGGTTGCAGGTTTAATCCTACACATACAAGAAGCAATGATAATGTTTCACTCTCTCTCTCCCTCTCTCTCTCCCTTCCTCTCTCTAAGCATATCCTTGGGTGAGGATAAATATATATAGAGAGAACAATTTTATTAGAAGTATTATTTTGGCCTATGTATTACCTGAAATGTATATTTAACTGCACTTAAAGGTTTTCTGTTAGCTGATTTATTTCATGCTAGACAAACATTTTGAAAAAATACAAAATAAAGACAATGTGATAGCTACCTTCATAAATTACGTCAGGATAATTTGGGTCTGCACCTAAAAAAAAAAACAAAGCAAAGAATTGTAAGTACGCATTCAGAGTTTAAAAAATACTAACTTATTCCCACTAAAATGAGCCAAACATTTATTGAAGATTTTATGACTGAATAAATTGTTTTATAGGACAGGTCAATAAAACCTGAAATTCTGTTTACTTTATGTTAACTCTGTTCCCCTCCCAGGCCCACAACCTCCACCCCTCTAAAAAAGAAAAAAAAAATCAAGAGAAATCACAAATCATTTTAGCTGGAAAAACTTCAGCAATTAATGACTTAAGACCAATTTTTTTTTTACTGTTTCTATTATATAGTTGGCTATTTTAATTGCAATTTTTATTCCAAAGACAGACCATTTCTGTACCACTGTTGTGATTCTAGGTTGATTTTGGGGGTTCCTTTCAAACTATGCCTTTGGCAGGTCCATTTGCATTTGTGAATACATTATTAATCGGCCTATATAACAATATCTAAAGCAATTTGAACAAAATTGCTTTGTTCACTGCTTGGTCTTCAGGAGGTTGCCAAGGCTGAATAAGAACTTCCCCCTTTTTATTGTTTTTGCCCTGACACAACACACACACACACAAAATAAATGTACTTTCTCTATTGAAATAGTTTATGTATGAGATTATAAATTAATACGTCAAAGAGAAGTACAAAAGTATACCCACTTAATTTTTTGAATGACTGTATTCACTGAGATGATCAGAATATTGTTTTAAAATATTCCTATGAGAATTTGCAAAAACATTTTGTAAAAGTCACTGTCAACAAGAACTGGTGACAAAAATATTTCCTACTTTCCATTCAGAACTTACTGGGCCTCTAGATGAAAGCCTACTTGGAAATAAACTTATACTTTGATATAACATTTAAGTGATTATTAAATGAATTTCCAAAGCTACTTCCTATGCTTTTAGTCTTCACTTATCATGTGAAAAAGTAAAACTTGTAAATCATAAAGCTTACTTAGTTCTCATATCTCTTTTGAAGCTTTAGCAGAAAAATATTATTTAAAATAACGTGAAATGAGCCAATTTTCTGTTCATGTACTCCCTAGTGAATAATTAAGGTTAACCTAAATGAAGAAACAAATAAAAGTGGCCCTGTTTAAATTAAATTTTTTAACACAGTTCAACTAGAAGAACATCCATTTTAGCAAGAGAAAAATTAAGTAGATGATTGTGCACTTTGATTCAGGGATGTTATGTACTGCCATGCAGTCCACACTTTGTATAACTCTAGGGGGCACTATTCGGCCTAGTCTATGTGAAAGGCACCATCTGAAATTATGCAGTGCATACCTGTGCAGGATTTGAGATGGCCCTGTGTCAATTCATGCAAAATTATTGATTGCAGGAATTTTCAGTTGTATTTTGAGTTTTATTATCCCAAATACCATTTCTAAGTTTTGAGTTGCAATATGTCCATATGTACTGTCAGAATTATTTGTACCTGATGTGGCATTCCAGAGAAGGGCCTTGAAACTACCCTGCACTTTGAGAGGTAATTCAGTGAATAAAGCAACAGGCAATCCCAGCGCAGCCCTGGCAACTTCATTCTCCAGGCACACACCCATCTGCTGAAGTCCTTTGCCTTTGCAAACTTCATGGACCAAATGGTGTCCGCTCACTGAGAATTTCCTACTCCTGCTGAAGGAAAGGTCCTATAACCCCAAGTCAGCAAATCATTCTTTGAACTTCTCAGTAATCTATTACTTTAAAGAATCCCACTCTGGTCCCCTACTCCTTGAACAGGGTATATTGAATCTGCAAGGGGACCTGCCCACCAGAGTCCACTCTTCACTTCTAGACCTCACTCCAGGTGCCCACAACCTAGAATTCCCTCCGCACAGGCCCCAAACACACGGGTGGCCACACCATCAGTATGAGCACCCTGTGACCCAAGACCCAAGGGAGGGGTGAGGACTGAGCCAAGATAGATGGGCTGGGGTGTCCACATGCTCACTCACTACATCTCATATATGTCTTGTGAATAGTTGGAGGCACGGGACAGGGGCCCTGGACAGGGACCACCTCTCCCAAAACCACTATGTTCTAGCACGGAACTCTGAGAGTCTGACAATCCGATCTTCAAACCCAGCCTTCCAGATAATTACAAGCATGTTTGGAGGAGGATATCACCTATTTTACTTAACAACTCATTAATTTGATTTATATTTTTAAGTATTTGGATATAAATATGAGAACCTCCTTTTGTACTAGGGTGACTCACCATCCCAGATTGCCAGAGACCAAGGGGATTCCTGAGACATTGGACTCAAAGTTTTAAAACTGGATGGTTCCAGGCAAATCCTTGCAGTTTGTCCAGGAATGAGGGCTTTCCCTGGGCATAGGGCTACTAGTGCTAAAACTGGGACTACTGGTCACCTGACCTGTTCTCATGCCCTCAGAGACCCCCCACCCAGTCACCACCCACTTTTACAGGTATAATTCCATAAGAAAGTCAAAAGACATCATGAGGATTTGAAGCAGATTTATCTAAGCCGGACATTGGCAGGGCCTCAGGGGAAATGACTGACAGGTGCCATCAGCCTCATCACAGAAAGGGAGCACCCAAACACGTTCCTCACACAAAGCTCCCCGGGAAACCCAAAACATCGAATCAGTCCAATGGAGCAAACGTCAGGTTACAGAAAAGTGGGATTTGGGGGTGGGATCAAAAGTACACAAGTTAGCCTATAACCTGTAACAGGCTATTGTCCAGACTTCTGACGCCTATCGCTGCATGCCTTTCCTACCAAGTTTAACCGCAAAGCCATCGGGTGATGTCTAAAATTTCTGGAAAGCACATTTTTCTGACTCCATCATCCTAGATGTATGAGATGTACTGTCACTTTACTTTTGTCCTCAGGAATAGCCAAATTTAGTGCAAGATTATGAAACTCACAGAGAGACAATGTGGGAGGAACAATGATGGGGTTTTTTTGTTGCTTTATTTTCCCTCCCTAGCATACTGTACTATGTCTGACGAGGACCTACTTGTCACAGTAAAGAAATGCCTCTCCAGGTACAAAGGTTTGAGAGGCCTGGCACATGGAGGGCGCCCAGACCTAGCATTTATGCAGAAGAAGGGTCACATTACTCCAGCTGACCTCAGCTCATCAAGCATAGGATTTTGCTTCTGGCAATTGCTTAGTCAAGCGAACCTCCCAGGATGTTTACATTCCCATAGCAAGGTGGTTATTAACATCACTTTAAATGCAGACACAGGAAACAATCACCACTTTCCTCTTTGACTCAGGCAATGGTCAAATTCTGAAAATGTCCTGCCATTTTTAAGGCTAATTTCTACCTGGTTTCTTTTATTTAGTTTAAATATGTCCATCACATGTTGTTATATGCTAACCATAGAAACCCCTGTTGGTGATATTTGGGACTAAAAGGTGACTGAGGCAAGGGGGAAAAGCCAACAGAAAGAGAATGAATGAAAGATGAATGAGCAACATCGGACTTGAGTTATGCACCTGCAGTGGGGATTTGAGAAGGGTTAGGCTTCCTTGAATCCTATCCTAGTAGCTCTCATTGCATAAGAAATCTCAAATCTAGACAGCAGGAGGTGGCATCAAGCCGGAAAGCTTCTTGTTAGGGATCTCTGGAATAGAATATGGGAATCTAGAAACTCCATTCCATCCCACCGGCATTCCAAACAAGCCACAGACCACATTCTCCCTCCACAGCTCACTCACAGGCAGAAGCTACAACTGTTTTCCAACCCAAAGAAGATGAGCGCCAAGCAGGAATGTTTGCCTGTCTGATGTTCAAGTTCTACTTTCTGAAGGATTTGTTGAGCGACTCCAGGTGCTACACTCACTTGCACTTAGGTTCTTACCTAAGACATGTTGCCTAGAACTACAGGAGGAAGACTAACAGGGCCCGAGTTCAGCCTGAAGCACTCCTGGGAAAAGAACAATGGAGACTGTATCACAGTCGGTATTAAACCTGCAATGTCTGCACCCCCAAGAGAGGACCTGTGGGGCATTTAGGCTTCTAAACATGGTCCATAAAATCACCTTCCCATCCCCCCCCAAATAATATCAAACCAGAGCACCTCATCATCCTCTACCTTCCTAATGCTGCGACCCTTTAATACAGTTCCTCATGTTGTGGTGACCCCCAATTTCATTGTTACAAATTGAACATAATTAAAGCATAGTGATTAATCACAAAAACAATATGTAATTATATATGTGTTTTCCCGATGGTATTAGGCATGGTATTAGGCAACCCCTGTGGAAGGGTCGTTCGACCCCCAAAGGGGTCGCAACCCACATGTTGAGAACTGCTGTCTTCATTTGATGCTAAATGACTTAAATGAGGATTTTTTAATTTCCATCTTCTAATCTCAGTTATTGCTCATGAGTAAATCTTATAACTTTATGTAAATCTTCATGACTAAATCTTTATAACTTTTAACTGTAAGACTGTACAGTTAAAAGAAAAAAACATTCGTAGGAATAAAGAAATTTGTGGGAAGATAGGTAGCCTGACAGTAGGGTTCCCTTTCCATTCTGTTGCAAAGATAAAAATAATGGTGGAGGCCAGAAAACACATCTTTTTCCCTCCTTTAAGCTTTTAGTCTCTCTCTAATGCCCTAAAAAAAAATAAAATAAAAGAGAGAGAAAGAAAAAGAAAAGACTTTTCTTTCAAATCTATTTTGAGATTCTCTTTAGTGTGATCTTGAAAAGTATTTCAAAGAATTCTATATGATAAAGCCATAGCAAAAGGCCTGGTCTTTTCAAACGAACTGGCCTTTGTCAACAGTGTTTTCTAGCTCATAGTGGTTGGACTTTTGATTCCAGATCCCTCTCCTCTTCCCTTTCTGAATGACAGGCTGAACTCAGGGCCCGAAAACACTGGGGGTTCAGATGTCTGGGTTTCATTTCTGGCTGAGCCATGAATGTAGGCAGCATGGGGGGCGAGTCTGCTCACTTTTCCTGTACAAAGGAGTCTTCCCCATGACGGGAGTGGATAATAGCATTGGCTCTGGCAAGTCCTTGGGAGTTTCGGGAAGCATAATTAATTAACATTAGTACTCTTGAGACATAAAGAGCTATTTAAGTATAAATCTTAATTATCATGATTAGTATGGGTTTATGGCCGAATCAGACTTCACAGTTATTTAAGGCAGAAAGGCAGGTAGAACTTTCCTTTCACTCCCAGGACAAGAAATGGGAACTGACAAATGGCCTGAGGGGCAAGTGACAGGGAGGGAGGGGTTATTTTCTCAATGCTATACATTTGGAGGAATTTCCTTTCTCTACATTCTTTGGCCTCAGTACACCAGATCTAAATCTGCCAGTTTGAGGGTAATTCTAAGTGCTCTAGTTCATCCAGACGTCATGAATCTCTTGATAAAACAGCACGAAGAAGAAGCTGTGGGGAAAACTCTTCCAGTATTTATAGTTTGTTCCTGTCGCGAATTTTGCATAGGAAACAACAGCTCCCGAATTAGGAAGCATAAGTCACTAACTCCCACTGCGTGTGTGAATGAGCATTCTTGAGCTGTGACATTCTTCCTGAATGAGTGGGCCATGGAGACACTCTTTATGTACTGCCTAAAGAATGGGAAGCTTCAAACCAAGGTATTTTATCGACTAGTGCCCTGGCTAGGTTTGTTCCAAGTCTAAATGTTTAGTCACTCAGGTAATGATTTCCATAGAAAAATGTACTCTTAAACAATCAACGTGTTCAGGTTCATAGAGCTACCTGACCTTGGAAAGGTGTGCTGATTAGAAGATACTAGCAAAGTCTTCAGGATTCTCTCTCATGACATTCACAAGCATCATGCCATTAATTTTTGTTTAAAATTCTACTTAAAAGACACCCTCACCAATTCTAACCTCCACGTAGCCTACACACACACACTTTCATGTCATGAAGAGGATTTTTCTATATGGGGGATTGAATTCCAATGACAGCCACATAGTGGATCAATTTTACCTCAGACAGGCTTATTTTTGGCCTGTAAGCTAAATAGGATCCAGCAGAATCTTAGGAGAATTCTCAGATAGCTCCACGCTTTCTACGTGTGCCTGCACTGCTCTTTCTACTTTTTAATTCACTCTCCCAAGTCTCCTTAAGCCATGCATTAAATTCATCCTACTTCTTGCCAAACCCAATTAAAATGCATCTCAGTGCACCAATTATTCTATATTTTTATCATTATTATTGGTATCCAAGAGGAATCAGTATGTATGCCTGACCAGTTCTCCCAGTGGCTTCCCCCAGGTTCTGTGGGGCAGTATGTCCAGTATTTCCATGCCACTCGAAAGTCAAGGCCATCAGGAATGTAACTACTTCCAACCAGTCTGTTCTCTTCCATGCTCACCCATTTCTGTTTTAGGGACTTTTTGTTTTTATTTCTGTTTTAATTTCTTCCAACATGCTTCATCATCTAGCTCCAAATAGAGAATGAATTCCTAAGGCAGGTAACCATCCCATAAAAATCTTGGTTCTGAGCTGAAGAGGGACACACACTGAGGATAGCAGTTCTGTCATGTTAATTCTCCTGGCTCTGTGTGGACATGCAAACCCACTCCACTATGATCCCAGGCTGCCAGCTTCCTTGTAAGCCAGGAAACTCACAATGTTTAAAAGAAGGGATCTCACCAAAACAACTGAGAAAATATAGCTAAAACATTTTATCAGAAATATTTGTAAAAGCTAAACTTCATCAGTTACTATATGATGACAGCAGAAATATGGAACAAATATAAACTCAAACTTGACCTGTTGTCCTTAACTTGGAATGTACCTTTTAGACCAGCAGGGAAATGAATTGCATATATTTGCTATTTATTTTTCTTTCATTTTAAATGGGGAGGAGAGGGAAAGGAATCCATTCTATGCAAAGCCATTATCTGTATGCGCTGGCTACAAATCTTGTAAATACCCACAAAGATGCTATCACACAAGCCAAGTGAGGTCAAGCTATAATTGGTCACACTGGTGTATGGCCCACGAGGGCCATTTATATCCACTGTCACTCTGGGCCAAGTCTCTTTCATTTCCACTTTCATTTATTACTCCTTGAGAGCTGGGTCTTGAGTAAATACTTAAAGAGAAAAAACAAAATCATTTTTTTTCTAAAAGCAGATATTTACATTTTAAAGACATTTGTAAAATTGAGCTTAATTTTTATTTTTGATAAATAAATGGTTATTTCTCTTAAAGAAGATATTTGAGAAACTCCAAGCTAGTCTTGTGCCAGAAAACAATTCTCCTATCACTAGCTGAGTTAAAACAAACAGAAATAATTGATAAAAATGAGGCCACATGGATAAGAGGAGGTAAGCTCTATCAAACACTGGCACCATACAGAAGCATTCAAAACAAAATACATCAAAATCCCACCTAAAATAGAAGCTGCTGGCTTTACATGGACAGAACTGTGCATATATCAAAGCACACAAGCCACTTCTAAAACTTTTAAACGTCTGACCTTCACCCTGCACAAATTCATCTCCAACCGTTTCAAAAAGCAGTTGGCGAAATTCAAATAAAGTCTGCAGTTTAGTTAACGGTAATATACCAGTGTCAGTTTCTTCGTTTTAGCAGATGTATTGCAGTGATGCAAGATGTCAATGATAGTAAAAACCGGGTACAAGATAGCTGGGAACTCTCTCTACTGTCTGCAACTTTTCTGTAGATCTAAAATCATTCACAAATAAAAAGTTTACTTAAGAACAAACCAAAAGCAGTTGTCCCAAAGCAGAGTCCCTGGGTTAACCTATGAAGCTGTAGTCCCTGTAACATACAAGAAAAAAACACAGTAATCTAGAGACTTACTATAGCAAATGTAGCCAAACAGCTAAACTCAATTAAGAGGAAGAATTAATGGGAATGGCCCCTGCTAGGGCTGTCTGGGTAAGGCATCCAAACATTGTGTGTTTTATACACTCCTGAAAGGATGTTTGTAAATCAAACTTATAGAATTCTAATCACAGTTTGAACACTAAGGAAGCTTGTGCATTCCATAGCCGTGTAATAAATTCCAGGATAATGGGAACATTGATTATGACTGAGAATTATGACATTCTCATTTGCTGTTTGTTGAAGGTGGCTTCGCATACATCACCTCTGTCCATGGGGCTGCCCTGCGAGCCACAGGAGTTTATGCTTCCCAAGCAGCCCCTGTCTCATGGGCCTCCAAGTTTCTATTTTCCCTTCCTTCGGCCAAGCCATCTTTGCGTGGCTTTGATTAACTCAGCGCTATTATGGTGAGGAATTCAACTCATGTACAGGTCCCAATATCCAAACACAAGCCTCAGCCTCCACAACAGCAACAGGTCTCTGGGCAACAACACCAAGCAAGCAAGAATACTCCTCTGAACAACAGGATCTGAAGCAGGTAAAGGCATGACAGCTACCCTTGCTGTTATCGGCGCTCACACTGAAATCCTGCTGCTGGCCCCAGAACAGACTCCTGATCCCAGCCACCCTTTGCCCAACCCAAGCCACTGGTCAAAGAAAACTATCACCAGTCCTAGAAAAACAATTCAGGACCTGATCAAAAGGAGGCCTCAACTCAGTCAGCACAGATGAGCAAAACATGCCAAGGCACTGGTTTCTCATCCATGGATCAGAAAGTAGGATCCTGAGTTCCAAGTGGATAAGGGCCTAGAACAGCCGTGGGCAAACTATGGCCCGCGGGCCGAATCCGGCCTGTTTGAAATGAATAAAACTAAAAAAAAAAAAGAGCGTACCCTTTTATGTAATGATGTTTACTTTGAATTTATATTAGTTCACACAAACACTCCATCCATGCTTTTGTTCCAGCCCTCCGGTCCAGTTTAAGAACCCATTGTGGCCCTCGAGTCAAAAAGTTTGCCCACCCCTGGCCTAGAAAATACATCTTAATTTGTTCAGGAGCCAACCAAACACGTTCCTTCTGCTCATGGTTTTGCCACTGTCACTACAAAATCTCATTAAGCAGTTGGGATAAAAATAATGTGTATATCAGATCATTGTTCAAACTTATTCATCCCCACCATCACCTTCTTGAGAGAAATAGGAGTCCCTATCCCTGGACTTGGCTTTGGCCCTGGGACTTGCTTTGACCAAGGGCATATAGGCTGAAGAGACCATGCGCCAGTCCTGAACGTAGGCCTTAAGAAGCCTTGCACATTTCTAGTTGTCTTTTTGAACTCTCTACTTGCCATAGGAAGCAGGTCTCCTGTGTAGCTACTGCTGCTTCACCCTGCACCCCGGAATAAAGACCCACAGGAAGAAGCTGCGGGTCTTTTACAGACCCAGGAGAACGACCAGGTAGTTCAAAATGATGAGACTAAATAATGATGATATAAGCCCCTGGGTTAAGGGAGGGGGTGTTGTTGTACACGATTTTGTCCATAGTTGAATGGCAGACCCTAGCCTCTCTCCAGATGCAAAAGTATCAGGTACTCACCGTCATCACCAGGCCAGCCCATGAAGTGAGCAGAAATCTGTTTCTCATCCTTCCCATACTCATTCTTGGCGACTAACTTGTAGTCCCCATTGTTCATGTGAGTGGGATTATCCAGCTGGAGGCAGCCGTGGTACTCCGTGTGATTGGTAACATGGATTTTAGTACAGATGTATTTGGACTCATTCAGTATTGCCCGGTTATAGAACCACTGAAGCGCTGGTTTGGGGTTGCCTTTCACAGTGAATGGAATGCACCAGTGGTGGTCTGAGGTTGGAGATTCGAGAAATGTGATAGTTGGAGCAACTAAATTGAAAAAGAGAGAGTTAATAGCATCAGAAAGCTCAAGTTTTTCCCCGTTCCAGATTTCTGTGTCATCAATAGGGGATTTTATTCAACCATTGTTTGGTTTAAGAAGACATATGACCTGCAACCCTGGAATCCATCAATATTTTCTATCCTTATCAAGGTTGATTTAACTCCCTACAGAGAGCTTCAGAGAGACTCCTGCCCCTGCTCAGCTGAAGACCCATGCATCACAGTCACTTTCACATCTACTCAGTGTGGGAACCTGCTCCAAACAGATCCTAGAGATTTCTGACTGCAGAAAGGGTTCAACTGAAGTTGACTTGGGTTTATATGCCTTGATGTTATATAGATTGATCATCAAAACATTGAAGGTCACTATTGCAGTATTTCATAATAAATACAAAAAAAAAAAGACTGGAAATCTTGCCTGCAGTCCTAATCTCACCTAAATTATTTAAAACAGATCAATGCTGCAAATGTTCCTATTGGTGCTGATTGATTTCACTGATTGTCAATAGTAAATGCTCTTTAAAAGCATCACATTTATTTATAATACAGTTGGGGTTTTTTGGGCTGTGTCAATGTTTTGATCCTTCTAATAGCTGAAGTCCTATCTAAACCTGGACAAACAAACTTGAGATTATTTTAACATTAAATATAAAGAACTTTTTGCTTCGGGAAACAAACATTAGCAAGTAGCTCATTTAAACAGTAATTATCCTAGGTGAAGGTATTAAAAATCCCTCATAGTTGTTTATTTTAATGTCGTCTGATTTGATTATACATTCAAGGACTATAAACACTTTTGAGACCTAACAGTATTCTTTCTCAGATGAAGAAACCCAAGTCCAATGAAGGTAAGTATCTTGGTCAAGGTTACTGATTGAGGCAGATCTGAAACAAGAATCCAGGTCTCCTGGTGCCCAATCCAGAAGCCCAGCTTCCTGGATGTATAGATTCCTGACATGAAAGGGCAGGGGGTGGGGGTGATAACTAATACACTCTGAGCAAGGTCACTGCAAAGATTAGCTCAGTGGTTAATATTCTTTATCACTTATTCCTCCTACTCTTTATCTAAACTTTGATAGATAAAGCTAATTCTTCAGACCATGGCTACCACACAGATCTCAACCCAAATTGAGAACATTTTGAACTTCCATGTCCTTATTTGTAGGTCTGTGTTGCAAACATAGGACCACAGTGGGTTAGGAACCACACTTACCTTCCTCCCACAGGCCCAAGACCCCATTCCCAGGACACACTTACTTCTTCCACCAAGCTCAAAAGAGCTTTGGGTGAAGTGTTGATTTAAGGCTATAAAGTTGGAAGCTGGTTGCATATGTTTGGGGGTAACACTGACTTCAGGCTTCCAGGAAGGTCAAAATGATTAGAAATTATAAGTCCAGAGTCTACTGGGCATAGTGGTAGTACTGCCAGTGACAAAGGATTATGGTTGGTAATTTCAGTCATTCACTCCAACCCCCACATACTGTAGGTCCTCTATGAGTGAACGTTAAGCAGTGTCTATATGTGTGCAGTGTGGATTTGTGCATACACACCACACATCATGTTTGTTTGTTTTTTGTTTTGTTTTGTTTTCAGAGTAAAAGTTCATTAATTTGTACCATCCAGCTCAGGATTTTCAATGATGTGAACAGTATATGTGATTTTTACTGAATATACATTCACACTGAGCATTACAACCTGGAATGTTGAGATATGTGTCATGTTATTTATTAATACTAGAAAATAATGTACATATGCTTAAGAAGTATCACTATCCTCTAGCTTAGTTTTAATATATACAGAAATTTAAAACAGATATAATAAAAGATTTTTGCAGGTGATAATAATTTTCAATAACTGAAGTAGGACTCCTCCAACCTTCTCATGGAAACTTGATGTCAAATTAATGAGGTTTTATTGTATCAACAGTACAAGTAGGTGTTTGTGAACAGCCAGCCCCATACTTTAGGTATCAGAACTCAAACGCTTTATATTGCTTTTATACAGAAAAATAAGTTAGAAACTGGTTTATCAGAATTTAAGCTAAAAGTTATAAACAAGAGGAGGATAACCAGCTCAAAATATATTCTATCAAATAAAGACTGGGGAGGCACAGAGGACAAGCTTAAAATCGAAAAGAAGCTTAAGGGAAAGACAGCGCATGAGCAAGAAAGATTAGCAGAAATAGAACAAGTGAATGAGGCTGATAACATTTCTTAATTAAGTATGCACAGAACACGGCATACACCTTTTTTTAACACACGTAAGCAGCACCCAGAGTGCCCCAACGACAAATGTAGGGGTGTCCACGATCATTTGCTATTAAAAACACATGCTGGTCTGATTACGTACAATGCACAGTGAGGTTCACAGAATCTTGATCTTCTCCTACAAGATTTTCTGCCACACAAGAGATTTGCTTTCCACTGTCATCAGATGAAATGTTAGTTATCCTTAAGGAGCCCTGTGTGTGGCTTGTTTCATTCTACAAATGAATTAACAGACAAAGATAATCTTTGTTAGGACTGGTCCCAAAGAGACAAGATTTGGGGTTTCTTCCCCTAATTAGAGAAAATACTTGATAACATCAGAAAAGGTTTCCAGCCTAATCAAGCACAGGCAAAGGAGTAAATCAGACGTTGTTCTATTTCTCTAGATGGCAATTGTTTAATATGTGAAATTGATTTAATCCTGAAACGCCTACCTACCTTCCTCCAAGGGAAAAGGAGTCACTCACCTTGCTCACGATGACACAAAAAGCTCACTAGAGACATAGACTCTCGCCAGTCTATTGGGTTTACATAACTAAAATGCAAACCTGCATTAGTCTTTGTTAATTAAGAATAAATAGAAAGTAAATATACACCAACAATTCCTCATGTGCTCCTATAAAATATTAAATGATCATCACTAGGTTAATAAAACCTCAAATTCTGAGGTACTCTCATCTGTCTACGAACATAGAACCAAAGACGAATCTTACCATATGTTTGGAAACCAGATTACCGACATCCCAGTACAAACTCGGAACTGGATCCCCCTCAACACTGCAAGATAACGTGATAGACTTCCCTTCCTCCACAGTGAGGTTAGGCGCGGCCAAATTTGCTGACGGCAAACCTGTGCAATAAGAAAAGTAAATGGAGACATATACAACTAAATACATTATTAAAATCACAGCAATAAATTGAAAACTCTTCATGCTTTAAAATTAATTATTATTTACTTCTTGAGACTGATATATGTTGATCTGAAAAAGAGCCAGGTCAGTAAGTCTTACAGATTTAATGTGAACCAAGAATGTGCAGTAATAAGATTAGAAAGCAAATTTTACTCATTTCTTAAAAATAATATTGCAGAATAACTTTATTTAAAAAACAACTCTAGTTTGTAAAACTATGTCTTCTACTTCTTTTTCTGTTCTACAGTTACTACTCTGTTGTTGTTGTTTTTTTTTTACATAAACAGGCATATGTCTGGGGACCACCTTAGCTCCCCATCTCCCTCCCTCCACTTTTTAAAAATATATTTTTGTTGATTTCAGAGAGGAAGGGAGAGGGAGAGAGAAATAGAAACATCAATGATGAGAGAGAATCATTGATCATCTGCCTCCTGCATGCCCCCTACAGGGGATCAACCCTGCAACCCGGGTATGTGCTCTGACTGGGAAGTGAACCGTGACCACCTGGTTCAAAGACAGATGCTCAACCACTGAGCCACACTGGCCAGGCTCCCTCCACTTTTTTATAGTCAAGAACAAAAGAGTGAAAGGCATCTAAATTTTGTATAAATCCATTTTTGCATTAAGTAACTCATACATCTAACCTACTACCAGACCTCAATTTTGAAAGAGAATCAAACTATGGAAAGAAAATGTAATTTCAAAGCATGTTTCAAAGGCATGAAGCTTGAACCATCACAGTATCACGATGTTTCAAAGCTATGTAAGTCACAGTTAAACATGATGGGTAAAATTGGTCATTCTATTTATGATATGATGAAAAAAGTTAGATGGATCCTTATTCCTATGAAAAGTTCTTTTGTAAAGGTAAAGATACAAATTATGAACAACAAATAGACATCTATCAATAAGTGAATCTAAAAATCAAGTGAATAAATAATCTGATGAACTGGTGATTGTAATAGAATCAGGGACATAGAAAGGGAATGGACTGACTATTCTTGGTGGGGGGGAGAAAGGGGTGTGGGGGTGAGTGAAGAGATTAGACAACAATCATGCACCTATGAATGAGGACAGTGGGTGGGGAGTGAGGGCAGAGGGTGGGGTTGGAACTGGGTGGAGGGGAGTTATGGTGGAAAAAAAGAGTAACTAATGTAATAATCTGAACAATAAAGATTTAATTAAAAAAAAGAAAAAAAAAGAAAAGAAAAGTTCTTTTATAGAAAAACCCAGAGAAAGTACTCTTTATCTGATGAAAATTTGAACCTTATAAACATTTTTCAATATTTCAGGAGAGCATCATTTCAATACTTTTACATTTCAAATGCTAGCTTTCATTTATTGATGCGGCTGTCACTTCATTAAACTATCACACCTATCAGGTATTTACATTGCTTTTAACCATATAGGAATCACAGTATTTTTCACATGAAGACAGGTCCCAGAGCGTGCAAAAGTATGTCAGATCCTGCCAGTCAAGCTAGTCCCTTGCTTGGTATCAGAAACTGCTTGGGACTGCATTCACCCCAACAGCTGTGTCCCACGAACTATGACACATGATTAACTCAGGAGTAACCTACAGGTCAGAAAAGGCAATTCCTCTTCAATGGCCATTATATTGCAATTAACCCACCCACCTAGCATTCTGTGACCCATCTGAGCTTCACAATGCTATGTATACACCCTTCCCTTATGATGCAGTCCTTGATGACAAAGCCATTATTCTTTATTACTAACACCAGACTGAAACAAGATTTATACAGCATGTCTCATGGTATTCCCACCAGTAGCAGAGGACTTCCCGACAAGTTCTGGCTTGCAGAGACTGGTGTGACCTCTTCAGAACTCTTCCTTCCTGTCAGCATTCATAGAGAGCAATGTTGTGTCTTTCATGGGGTTTCAAAAGGCCCCTAATCCTCTGAGTTATACAGGACAATGAAGCAAATATGAGTGATCAAGAGGCAGTGCAGTTAATAGGAATGAACTCTCAATCAGGAGTCAGGAGCCCGAGACCCTAAATCTGACTCATACTGTGTGGCCTTGGGTGAGTCATTTCCTCTATCCACGTGTTTTCTTTAAATTTCTATAAAATTCAGCTGTTCATTTAGAAGACCGAGCTCTAACTTCTTGTTCTAATATTTGGTGACAACTTCCATGACAATTAAGCTTTCCAATTTATTAAGAAGTTGTCAAGGCAAGATATAAGAAAAGGGCTTATGTAGTGAAAAATCTCCTTGAAGTCAGTGGTATAATCTAGGTCACTTTTTAAAAACAAAATATATAGTCACATAGTTTGAAGAGTCTATAGTTCTACAAAACTTGTTATGCAAAACATTCAGTCTAGTTTGTGATAAGCAGTAGTCTCACCTCACCCGTGTGGCACTATTTCCTATTCCCCATAGGCACTCATTTCATCTCCTAATGGTTCTTATTTGACCATGATCTCTACATTGATAAATACTATGCCTATATTGCTACTTCTTGATTTCCCTGTGTTAAACTGTCTACTGACCTCTCGCTGTGGAAGATAAGGTTCACTTTCACACAGAAGGCCAGCCCTCAGCACATGCCCATAGCACATTCAACATACTCTGTCTTCACGCCCTTATATATGCTGTGAAGTTAGGCCGTCTAGATGTAAAGTTTAATTATAAAAATATAAACCCTACAAACAGCTGAACCATCATATGAAATAGTTACATTTTATCAAATTTAAGTCAGCAGTGATTATAGGCTACAACACTGTCATATGTACCACTAAGGAAGGGAAAATAAAGATGCCAACTCAACAACGATGCAATGCTTTCTCACCACTGAGATCTCCTAATGTTGATGTTGAAACTTCTAGATATCCCATCAAATTTTTTTTTCATCCTTTTTTCCCTATGTTCCATATTTTTGTATATTTGTTCTATTTACTGGGAGATTTCCTCAGATTTACCTTTCAAACCTGCTTCTGAGGTTTTCATTCCTCTGTCCCATGTATTTATTTTCCAAAGCTCATTCTTTTGATCGTGAATGGTGTTTATTTTTATAGCACCCCGTTTTTCTTATAGCACCCTGTTTTTCTTTTATAGGTGCAATGTCTCTTCTGATTTATGTGAGATATTAATGATCATTTCTATTTTAATTGTTTTCTCTCCATATCAACTTTGTTTCTTGTAATTTTTTTCCTTTCTCTCTTTGATCATGTTGTATCTTTTATATTATAAGATTTTCTCAAACAGTTGGTGATCCGTGGCCATTCATACATCCATAAGAATGAGGTATTAGAAGCATTGCATATTTATTCATTGTTGGCTTCATGTAGGAAAATAGCATTGGCCTCCTACTGGGTACTCTCTGATGTTAATGTTATTAAATCATTTTGGGAAAGGACTGGTCAAATTATTCAAATAATGTTCTTTCCCTGTTCTCCGTGGGAAAGGAAGAAGGCTGAAAATGTCAATATTCAGTATGTAAATCCATCATTTTCTTATGGTTTTCACAGCCTCGACTCTATCTGGAGATCCTGTGACCAGCATTTTATGCTCTTTAGAGAATAAACATGCTGAGGAGGGAGAGGTGCAGGCACCTAGGATGCATGGAACAAAAATGGGATTAACTGCTTTTTAATAGACTTTCAACCAACCCCCTGTATTTGGCATTGCCTGTACTGTCACTTCTTGAGCCTTGTAGTAGTTCTGCAACATAAACCAAGCTTCTTCTTGCCTGTCCCCATTGCCAACTTGGTAAATAGCACTCTCAGCCTTTAAGTCAGTTACTACTCATCCAGCTGCTTTCCAGCTTACAATTAACTTGTGTGCTTTGTTGACTCTTCTGCCATCTTCTTTGTTCTTACAAATTTATCTGCTGATGCTGGAGGGATCATGGAGCCAGGGCCTGCCACGGTGCTTGTTTTTAAGGTCTGACCTTCTTCACAGCCAGAAAACACCAATGGAGCTTGGGGACACCCCTCTTGGTACCTCAAATACAAACCTATGGGAGGAATTCTCTACCTTTTATAAATGTATCTCATAGTTTAGGAATTCTGAGCAGAAAGGGATAAAAATAAAGAGTTTCTCAGTAGAGAATCCTATGCCATAATCTTAATTTCCACTATAAAATCTGTTACAGTTTTCTTCTTCAAGCCTAAGCTTATATAACTAACAGTTCTAAAAATATTTGTTTAATTACAGTAACAATAATAGCATTTATATAGGCATTCACTAAACCATATATTCTCTAATATTTTAAGTTTTTGTTTTTTTTTAATCCTTACAACCAATCTTAAAGTTAAGTATTTTGCCCTTATTTAATTAATGCAGACTATGAAGTTTGAAAAAGTCAAATACATCTCAAATCGCCCAAGTATTTTTGTCCTGGGATTTGAACCCAAAACACAGGATCTACACAACTACACTACACTATCTCCCAGACTGCATATATCCATTTTAGCACAGACCATAAATACCAATACATATCCATGATCTAGGAATTTGATTCATTAAAAAAAAATAATTACATGTCTATTTGTGAAGGAAGAGTGAGTCTCCTTTATTTATAGAGAAATTGTATCACCCTGTCATAGCAGTTTCCAAGGGAATCTGTGCAAAATTGGCCAAGTCTAGATCTTTTAAATGTAAAGTCTTCCACAAATGAGTAAGCATCTGACTCACGTTAATTCTACAGCATTAATATGCTGGCCAAAGAGTTAATAATGGAAAAAACAATCTGTACTTGAAATATCACTTGAGGTTTAATTAGCACAATAAAAATGAATTGGGAAGCATGAATAGCCAAGGCAGGATAAACCATTTGCCAGGCACTACTTCCTGGCTTAATAAGATTTGAAATCGGCACAAGAACAGAGCAAAGCTCAGCAATGCTTCCAACAGCTTCTCGCACTACCGGAATGGGATCCTGATTTGAGCTTCAGAGATGGCGTCCTCTGCACTCT